CATCACTGCACTGCCTGGCCTACTCCCAGCACTGTTCAAACCCTCCCAGAAAGGCTGCCTGGCCTAGAGGAGCCTGCTTAGCCGGAGCGCTTTCAACGTGGGCAGCCAAGCTTCGCTTCCCCCCAGCACGGCCCGGTAAGGTGCTGTGCCGCTGCTTCCCTGCGCTTTCTAGTCAGGCTGGCGGATGCACCATGTACCCTGAAATGACTCTTTTTGGAACAGTAATTTATGAGCAATAAAACCCACAAATCCTGGGCCTGGGTGCATGAGTTTTCTTTTCCTCCTGAAATGGGTGCGTCTCTTGCAGCTGGGAAGGAGCAGGGCTTTCCGGGGCTGTGGTTCCCCTCCTGCGGGCGCAGGGGTTCAGGGTCAGGGCACATTAGCAGCAGGTGGAGGATGGAGCAAGCCCCCTTCTCCAAGCTCCGCTCACAACGCAAGGAGGATTTGTTTGGTTCTAGTGTTAATGAGCTACAGCAAAACTGCTTCCTTACCAACATGCTTTGAAAACGTTACTTACCTAACTCCAGAGCTGGGTCTCTCCCATAGCCCCTCCAGCTCCCAGGGGGGAGGCAAGGCCAGTTGCAGACAGTTTGGGTTAGAAAATATAATCCCAGTTCCCTAAACCAGATTAATAAACACTGCTCTGCACACCTGGCTCTGCTCCCAGACAGCTGCCCGGCCCCCAGCCCGCCCAGGGGAATGATGGGTGGAGCAGTCTGGTGCCGCTATTTTAAAAACTTTATTATTGGCCCAATGATATTTGACACACATGCTGGGAGCTGTATGGAAATCAGCACTGATAAAAAATACAGCAATTATGACCCGTATTGATAAAATAGACAATGGAATCGCCTTTCGATTTACAAAAAATAGCCAAGATGCAGCTCGGGCCTCGTCCTGCCCTAGAGAGGCAGGTGCTTTTGACTCTATAGACCAAACCCTGGGGCTCTGCTCATTGCTTTCCCCATCGCCACAAGGAAGGAAGGGGAGATGAAACGGGGTTAACGGTTCCCGCCTAGCGCGGGCTGCTCCCAGCACAGTTATTAGCTAACCTCCCACGGCCTGCCCTGGACCCATGCTTTGGCCTTAGGCATCGTTCAGAGGCACCTTTCAGGCATATACATCCAGCGGCATGTTGCTCTGCAGAGCAGGGCCTTGGCCGGCAGCAGCTAACAGCCGCCGCAGTGCAAAACTTACCTCATGCTGGAAGAAACCCAGGGCCTGACTCCCTCCCTGGCTGGGGAAGAGAGCATGGGAGGCTGGTTACTCTGGGAGCTCCCCTGCGGCTGGTCTTTGCTGCCCCCTGTCCTATGCCACGGGGCTCCTGCACCCCAAAACAGCTGCTTCAACACCGCCCCCAGCGCTTTGCCTCGCACAGCCCCCCAGCTGTGAGCTGTGTTGTAGGTCTTGAGGGGCAGCAGAAGATGCCTTGAAGGCTGAGTCCATCACCCTGGCTAGGAAGTGAGGCCTTGGGAGTTAAACATCACACCAAGCTGCCGGTGCAAGAAACCACCTGCTTAGTGCTCATGGGTGCTTTAATCCATCCCCGCTCTCCCCCGGTGCCGAGGCTTTGCAGTCAGCTTAGCTGCTCCAGCCCTGATGAATATTTAAGAGCAGCACATGGCAAGACCGTGTGCTGAAATAAAGGGGCCTCGGGCGAAGCGAACTGCTGACGAGTCTTTTCACTGTTATTCCACCTACGTCGTCCCACGTGCAAGGCAGCCAGTGGCTCCTGCACCACTTCACGCCCACGTGAAGCACTGAATTGCAGTCAGCTGCTTGAGTGGAGGAAGGCAACGGGGCAGGAGGAGAGAGCCCATCAAACTACAGTACAGTCCCGGTTACAAAGGGCTGCTGGCACTTGCGTCAAATCTTGCTAGACACTCACTGGAGCTGCTCACTCAGGACTGGGCTGTCGGCGCTCCGGCCAGGGGTTTCTGACCGTCAGGGGTCAGGAAATAAGTCAAACTGCTCAATGCTTTGAGGCTGCAGTGAGCTCTCGAATTCATCGAACGTGTCCAGAGGTGACCATTTAGTTCCACTTTCAACTGGCCTTTGACAAGGTCCTACACACGCGGCTGCTAAAGACGCTTGGGGAAGGGGTCCTGATGTGTGAGCAGCAAAGTGTTGTCATGGCGCAAAACCTGGCTAGGCGCCTGCCCGCGAAGACCAGGCGTGCAACACGGCACACGGCTAACAGCAGGGGGCCTCACGGCACCGTCCTAAGGCCTGTGAGGTTACGACTTTAATAAGCTGGAGGGAGGTGGGGGGTGAGCAGGGAGGTAGCAAACTGGGCCGCTGACGGGAAGTTCCGGAGTCAAGACGGGAGAGGAGTGTGAATGAGACCTACACAAACGAGGGGACCAAGCTGACAAGTGCAAGGGCCTGTAATGCACATTGGAAGAAAAAACATTAAAGGCCCTGTGCAGGTCGCTGGGTGCCGGAGTAACTGGACGCAACGGAGCCCAAACCACGGGCTGCTCTGCTGCACGCACCGCTGCGGTCAGACGCTAACCCAGTGGCAGGCCGCGTAAGGCCTAGGCTAGAGCAGCAGGGATGATGCTCTAATGCAGCGGTTATTAAACTGTGGGGCAGGACCCCCAAGTGGGTGGCGACCCCATTTTAAATTGGTCGCCAGGGCTGGCATTAGACTTGCTGGGGCTCGGGGCTGAAGCCAAGGTCCGAGCCCCACTGCCCAGGGCTGAAGCCCTCAAGCTTTGCCCCGCTATCCCCCCTCCCACCCGGGGGGGCAGGGCTCGGGCTTCGGTCCCCTTTCCCGGCGTCGTGCGGTAATTGTTGTTATCAGCAGGGGGGTCGCGGTGCAGTGATGTTTGAGAACTCCTGCTCTAATGCCCCAATCAACGTCAATGGGGCTGGCTCCATCTGGAGCCTCGGGGCGGTGCTCGTTACACTCCCAGCCACAGGATACCGCAGCCCATGGGGAAGAGGGGCCGGAGGAGGGCAAGGAGAATGAGGTAGGGCCAGGAGCATTCTCAGCTGACGAGCAATGCAGCTTGGGCCCTTAGCGTGGAGACAAATAAGAGGGGCCAATGCTAAGTCTCTACAATAGTAACTGGTCTAGTGACGCGAGGGCTTGGAACAAGGGCACGTTCCGTGGTGGAAAAGTCAAGCACACTAACAGGAAATATCTTCTGCACATGGCGTGAGTAGCCCGTGGCCCCTGGAAGCCAGTCAGCCCAAGAATGTACCCGTCAAGAAAGGCCTGGGCATGTCTAGGGAGCCAGCTTTGTCCTGGATGCTGCCAGAAATGTTGGCAGGGATCGGAAATCAGCGGCTTCGGGGCGAAAGCGGCTCTCTAGCTTCGCAAGCCGCGCCGAGCCCCGGTGTGGGGGCAGAGGAGCCCACAGCTGTTGCTCCGGGGTTCTTACACCTTCCGCTAAGACAGCGCCACAACACAGGGCTCAAGTCCTGTGCCCAAAGAGGTTGCACCAAGCTGAGGTGTGGGTCCTGGGGCCAGAGAGCACCATGTCTTGCTCCAAGCCCTGCCTGTTTGCGCAGCAGCTGCACGGCCGTGCCTCCCATCACTCCAGCAGTGCAGCCCCCGGGACAGCAAAGCACTCGGCCTCGCATCCCTGCTGTTTAGACCGATCCGTCATGCCGCAAAAGCACCAAGGAGCCAGCAGCTCCCTTTGTGCACTGGACGCTGACGCTCCCCGTGGCACAGTGAGCCGGCGAGCACCATGCAACGCCGCTGCCTCTTCTCTGCCATGTGGTGCTGGGCTCCCCCCGGGGCCGCAGGCTGCAAGAGCAAACGGGCTGTCCCTGGTAGTGGAGGACACGTCCCCTGGGACTCCGCACTGGAGGGGGAAAGGCTGTGCTGGCTGGGGAGAGGGCTAGGGTTACCATACGTCCGGATTTTCCCGGACATGTCCGGCTTTTGGGGGCTCAAATCCCCGTCCGGGGGGAAATCCCCAAAAGCCGGGCATGTCCGGGAAAATCGGGAGGCTCGGCCAGGGCCTCTTTGTCCGGGGCCGGGGGCATGGTGCAGGGGGCCGGGCTGGGCACGGGGCCGGGAGCCGGGGGGCGCGGTGCCGGTCCGGGCCCGGGGAGCCGGGCCGGGCCCACGGAGCCGGGAGCC